CGCTCGCGAACGACGAGCTGTTCTGGCGGCGGAAAAAGGAGAGCCATCTGCGGTGGCCTTGATCCAGCTGGCTCTGGATGGGGTGGACTTAGTCCTGAAAATTGCCACCAAGTCCGACAGCCTGAAGGGCACATTCACCCGTGGCTTAAAGGAGGCTGCCGCGGATCATCTCAGGGAGGCGGTTGGCATTCTTCTCAACAGGACGGCCTCTGACGAGGTAGCAAAGCTACAGGAGGAAAACTGCCGCCTCAGAAATGACCTAGAAGACCTCCGGCAGCAAGTCGCAGCACTGAGCGAGCAGCAGCAGAGATGCACATCCACCGATGCCGCATTTGTAGTGGCCCCGACTCCCGCACCGCGACCGACAAGCCCTCGTACCGACGAAGAGGTCGAGCGCATTGTCCGGCTCTGCATGCTTAAGTGCGGGAGCATGGTTAACGCTCGGCTGGAGGCGATTTCTCGGCGTCTCCCGGCGGAAATCCTACGTCCGCCTTTGGCGGCTGACACGCGGAGGACTGAGGAGCCGCCGAGACTTGCGCCTCAAAAGGGGAAACCCACGGAGGGTAAAAAAAGCCCTCGAAAAGAGGGAGCTCCTCCGGGCGACCAGCCCGCGACAGCCGGGTCTAAGGGTGAGACATGGGCGAAAGTCGTGGGCCGCAAGAAGGCCCGCAAAGCCGCCAAGAAGGCCTCAGCAGCTGCACACGCCCAGGTGGAACTGCAAAGACGGCTCCTCAACCTGCGCGGCGGACTGCCAAAGGCGGTCGCAAGAAACCAGTTGTACGTGTTCCGCGGTCCAATGCGGTGACACTAACATTGCAGCCCGGAGCTGTGGAGCGTGGCGTACCAGTCGGTTATCGCTGAGGCCAAGGCCAAGATCAAATTATCAGATCTTGGCCTTCAGTCCGTCACCCTCAGGCAGGTTGCCACGGGTGCGCGGATGTTCGAGGTGGCTGGCACTGTGAGCGTCAGTGCCGAAAAGGCAGACGCATTGGCCGCCAAGATAAGAGAGGTCCTCAACCCTGAGGACGTCCGGGTCTCCAGACCAATGAAAACCGCAGAAGTGCGGATTGCTGGCCTGGACGACTCCGTGACATCTGAGGAGGTGGTGGCGGCCGTTGCCAGAAGCGAAGAGTGTCCGCCGGACAGGGTGCGGGCCGGCGATATACGCACCGATGCCACCGGACTTGGCGCGGTCTGGGTTCGGTGCCCTGTAGCGTCAGCAAAGGAGATCGCCGATAGCGACAGATTGCTGATAGGCTGGGTGGCGGCAAGAACGAAGCTACTACAGCCCAGGGCTTTACAGTGCTTCCGGTGCCTTGAAAAAGGGCACGTCCGGGCGAAGTGCACCGCCGAGGTTGACCGTAGTGACCTTTGTTACCGCTGCGGCCAGCCTGGCCACAAGTCGGCCCTGTGCACCGCGGCATTCAACTGCAGCCTTTGCTCTGCTGCGGGAAGGCCAGCGGAGCACAGAGTAGGCGGAGGGACCTGTGGGGCGCCTACCAGCAAGGCCAAGGCCAAAAAGGAAAAGAAGACGAGCACCATGCCTGGAGAGTTAACCTCGCTGCTCACACAGGCCAGTAGCTCCGCGGCCGACTCCCGGCCCAGGACCGTTGCCGAGGGAATGGAATGTCAATAATGTCAAAGTTCCATTTTCTCCAGGGCAACATCAGCCACTGTGCCAGAGCTCAGGATCTCCTACTCCAGAGCATGGCAGAGTGGTCGATTCACGTGGCTGTGGTCGCCGAACCGTACTGCATTCCCGCCCGTGACAATTGGCTGGGATGCGGTGACGGTTTGGTGGCCATTATTGGCCAGACTCTGATCGACCCGTCTCGGGGCCGCGGCTGGGTTTCTGCGGTCTCGGGTGGCATCGTTATTGTGGGGGCGTATTTCTCCCCCAACAAGAGTCTCGCCGATTTTGAGGGTTTCCTTGTCGAGTTGGGCGCCGTCGTAGGCCCCTATCACCCTCGTCCCGTTCTAGTGCTCGGGGATCTCAACGCAAAGTCATCAGCGTGGGGATCTCCGGTCACTGATCCTCGGGGCGAGGTGCTAGAAGAGTGAACAGTGACAACTGGTCTGGTCGTCCTGAATCGGGGTTCGGAATACACGCTCGCTAGCCCCTCTGTCGCCAGCCGAGTCCGCGACTGGCGTGTCGCCGTAGGGGTGGAGACGTTGTCGGACCATCGGTATATCCGGTTCGACGTCTCTGCCCAGACTGCGAGAGGCCGCCATCCAACTACCCCGATTAACGACGGCCCGCGTTGGACGCTTAAGCGCATCGACAGGGAACTACTCGAGGAAGCTGCCTGTTGAGCGTCCAGTCCTGGATCTGGGAGTCGACAACGGACGGCCCCGTCGACGTCGAAGCAGTGGCGCTATGGTTTCGCGAGGCGATGACGCAGATCTGCGACGCGTCCATGCCCCGTGTCCGCCAACGGTCCGCAAGGCACCAGGTGTACTGGTGGACCGCCGAGATTGCGCAATTGCGTATAGCGTGCGTTGCGGCCCGTCGCCGGTACACCCGATACCGGAGACGGCGTCGACGGGATTCCGCCGAGGAGGACACGCTGTATGAGGTGTACCGCGCGTCTAAGGAGACTCTGTGGCTGGCCATCGGCGACTCGAAGTCGCGTGCCAGGGAGGAGCTGCTGGGGTCCCTAGATCGGGATCCGTGGGGGCGCCCCTACCGTTGGGTACGGGGCTAGTTGCGTTCCTGGGCTCCTCCACTAACGTAAGCAATGCAACCCCAGTTGCTAGAGACGGTGGTATCGGTTCTCTTCCCTGAACGAGTGGGACACGTTCCCCCGGCGATGGCTTCGCCCTCAGCCACAGAGTCTCCAGAGGAGGAGAGCACCGATGTACCCAAGGTGACGCAAGCAGAGATGAGAGCGGCCATGGCGCGACTGCGGGCCAAGAACACAGCTCTCGGACCCGACGGAGTTCCTGGTTGAGCTCTCGTCCTGGCTCTGAAGGAGCTGGAGCCCCAGCTGAGGGGGCTCTTCACGACATGTCTGGAGCAGGGTCAGCTTCCCAGTGTGTGGAAGGAGGGAAGGCTGGTCCTACTCAGGAAGGAAGGGCGCCCCGCGGACTCACCGTCCGCGTACCGGCCCATAGTGCTGCTCGACGAGGCGGGCAAACGTGTCATTAGACATCTCCAACGCCTTCAACACCCTACCTTGGAGTTGTATTCGGGTGGCGCTTAATTACCATCGCGTGCCTCCCTACCTCCGCCGCACAATAGGGGCTTACCTTGAGGAGAGATGCGTCACGTATTGGGGGACGTGACAGCGCTGGTCGGCGCGTCATGTCGTGCGGTGTTCCGCAGGGATCGGTCTTGGGACCGCTCCTGTGGAACATCGGCTACGACTGGGTGCTGAAAGGTGAGCTCCCGTCGGGCGCTGACTTGACTTGTTATGCAGACGACACGCTCGTCACTGCCCGGGGGAGCTCGCACAGGGATCAGCGTTGGTTGCTACGGCTGCGGTTTCACAAGGGGTGAACCGCATCCGGTGCCTGGGCCTGGAGGTGGCCCTTAACAAGTCGGAGGCCATGGTGTTTCATGGCCTTCGACGCGCGCGCGGGATCGCACATCGTGGTCAGCGGGGCCCGGATAGCTGTCGAGTCCACCATGAAATACCAGGGATTGGTGCTCGACAGACGATGAGAATTTGGGCCCCACTTCCGGCGGCTGGGGCCCAAGCTGATGCGTGCAGCTGGCGCACTTTCAACGCTGCTTCCCAACTTGGAGGGCCCGAGCGCCGCCTGTAGGCGGTTTTACGTGGGAATCGTGCGGTCCATGGCCCTGTATGGGGCCCCTGTATGGGCGATGGATATGATGGCCAGCACTCTCGCCATTCTGCGCAAACCGCAGAGGGCGATGACCGTCAGAGTCATCCGCGGGTATCGCACGATTTCCTACGAGGCGGCTTGCGTCCTGGCCGGATCCCCGCCCTGGGACCTAGAGGCGAAAGTTCTCGCGTCATTATATCGATGCCGCGAGGAAGAGCGGGGACGGGGCTCGAGGCCGGTGCAGCGACAGATCGCGCTGCGCCGAGAGGAGCTCCGTCCGGTCTTGGTGGCAGAATGGCGGCAAAGGCTTCTGCGACCTACCTCCGGCCTCGCTATCGTCGAGGCGATCCGGCCAGTACTCGGCGACTGGCTCGGGAGAAGGCACGGCTCCCTGTCGTTTTGGGTGACGCAGGTGCTGTCGGGGCACGGCTGCTTCGGCAAGTACCTGTGCCGCATAGACAGAGAGCCGGACGCTCGGTGCCACCACTGCGTCCATTGCGGGGAGGACACGGCGCCACACACGCTCGCCGAGTGTGTAGCTTGGAAGGAGCAGTGCCGTGTCCTCACAAATGAAGTAGGAGGCGATCTGTCGCTGTCGGCCTTGGTGCGGAGGACGGTCGATAGCGCAGAATCGTGGGATGGAGTGGTGTCCTTCTGTGAGGACGTGATGTCGCAGAAGGAAACTGCGGAACGGGAGAGGGAGATCTCGACTCCCTTCCCTGGCAGCAGAAGGCGCACCGGGCGCAGGAGAAGGGCGGACAACGCCCTTTTCCAGCCCCCATGAATGAGTCCAGGGGCGAGGGACTAGGGGCAGCCCCCGCCCCCCTATTCGATGGACCCGAGGCGGAGGCACGCGCGGGTGTCGGCGCGCGCCTCTGAGGTGATACACGGTGTAGTTGAACACCTCACTACCCCGTGCAGGAGACGAGGCCCGTACAGACCGGGCCAGCACTAGTGTGGGGCTGCGGAAGAATTTTGATTCCCGCGGCCCCTCGCCCCCCCTTTCCCCAGGCAGAGGCAGTCCATGAGGAGTTCCCCCCGTAAAAAAAAAAAAGGTTAGGTTAGATTTGAACTGTGACCACAACACACGAGCCGAGCGAGCGTGCCGCGGCAGCGGCCGGCGGATCGGCGCGAAGCGAGGCGATTGTCTCGTTGAAGTTTATTTGACTGATGACAAAGTGCCCGAGGATTTGCGCGAAAGAGCAATAAAATTGGTGGCTGACAGGGAGGCAAAAAAGAAGGAGAACGAAAGGAAGAGAATGAATATAGATGACGATGAGATGAAAGATGATGGAAATGCGGGCCTGTTTGATGGAGACAAAGATTCCCTTAACTTTAATTGGTCTCCCATGGACACGTTCCGGGGTGAGAGGGAGGTATTTCTACCTAAGAAAACCGGGCCGATGAGGCCATCAAGAAGCTCGTATGAGGCATTCCGCCAGTATTGGGATGATGATATAATATCATATATAACGACTGAAACTAATCGATACGCAGCGGAACTGTGTCGCACCTCCGTACTTCGAAGAAAGGTACGATACCCCATGAGATATTAATCCTGTTCTGCTTCTGGATAATGCTGGGGATCATCCAAATGCCGTCCACCGAGTCCTGTTTCACAGACAACCCGCTTCTGGAGACCCACATTTTTCGAAAACTATTTACCCGCCATAGATATCAAAACCTCTGCCGTGCTCTTAATTTTGTTAATAACGAGACACGAACACCTAAATCCGGCATTCTCTTCCCAATCGAACCCATTATTAGCCACTTAAATTCTCGCTTTAAGTCCGCCTACATCCCCACACAGGAGATATGCACCCACGAGAGTTTGAATTTAAAGTCACATACACGATTTGGTATGAAGACGCTTGAACTGTGTGAGTCGACTACGGGCTATACGTGGTCGTTCTTCTCCAACACGTGGAAGGTCAAAAATCTAGGCCGTAGATTTCCATCGTCTCTTTTAGTCACTCCCAAAACCGTGCTCAATCTAGTCTGGCCGCTTCTAGACAAAGGATATACACTGTTCATGGACAGTTCTTTTAACAGTCCTCTACTTGCAAGGTATTTAAAGAAGCGCAAAACTGATTGTGTGGGAACTTTACGTGCTCATCGCAAATACGTGTCACCTTTGATAGCACTTTGCAGGCCACGTGACGGAGAGTTGTTCGCGCGGCACTCTGGTGACGTTGTCACCATGATATATCACGATAGGAAACCAGTTGCGCTCATAAGTACGTACCATAATACCGAGCAGGTGATGGTTAAGTCCAAATCAAATTTGTCGTGCCAGTGGAAACCCAAATTGGCCATCGACTACAATAAATACATGGGTAGCGTTGATCGCAAAGATCGAATGATACCGTATCTACTAGAGAGGAAGAGTTGCTTCAAGTGGTATCTTAAACTATTTAAGCGATTATTGGATGTTTCTATATTGAACGCGCGTATACACCGAGAAAAATCTTCAAACGAATCAAAAGATCATTTAGTTTTCCGTTTAGAGTTGGTGACTGAGGTAATCGATAAACATATCACTCAAGTTCCTCGCCTCCGCCTCCGCCGTGTCGAAGTCAACTCAATTCCGCGGCGTGTAGACTTGCCTGCGAGGCGCTTAACTGACAGTCTTCACTGGCCAGCGTCTTACGAACACTCTAGCAAATCTAACCGGACCAAATGACATCCGTGTATTTGGTGCAACAGGCGTAATCAGGTCCATAAACTAACTACTTTTCACTGTGAAGATTGCAACGTCGCTCTGTGCATCGAACCATGTTTTAAATTGTATCATACGGTCGATTAGTATGTTACAGTTTGCGGTTGTATCATACTGTTTCATAGCATGCCTGCAATTCAGACCAGAGTATATTTCATTTTTGTACTAAATCCTGGTTTAAGAGCGGTAACGCTAATGGGCTAGGAACATACTTCAATCGGTAGTTGAAAGGAAAGAGTGAGAGAATTTTTTCTACTGTTCCTGTCGCATACGCCATAGGCAAACTACCCTCATTTGCTGCGTGTAATAGTCCATGCGTAACATAGGGATTGTTGCTGCCGCCAAATAGCAGTACTTGCACTACTGTATTTCAGTTTATAGGATATGGAGAATTAACATAATTACAGGTTGTGAGTCATTCCAACTTAGTCCTCAGCGGTAACGACGCAACTGTAGCCTTGTTTGAAGCTGGCTCCAGGTGTCTATAAGCAGCACTGGCGAATTACCATTTATTGTTCGGATTAATCCCAGCCGCCAAATTTCGTGAACGCACTACGCGGCAAACGTCCCGAAATCATCCACACCATCTGGATGCTTGGCGGTCCACCACTGTACGTTTCACAAGAAGTCTTCCAAGTCTTCAGCTTGCCATCCGGAACGACGAAGAGTTGAACAAGCTCCTCTCCGGGGTGACGATCGCCCAGGGCGGTGTGCTACCCAACATTCAGGCGGTTCTTCTGCCCAAGAAGACTGAGAAGAAGGCCTAAAAGAGTGTGTGTACTTACCCCTGGTTACCACACTACTAGGCCCAAGGTAAACGGTTGGTTGATCATTAGATGAGAGAATGCGTCGACGTTGTCGGTAATGTTCTGTTTTACACACTTAGTATAATGGTGCATTCGCCGTCCATCGACTGTTCTCTGTTACTCTATTGATATCTACCGTTTGTGGTTGGTACCTGATTAAAAGGCCCTTTTGAGGGCCACAAATATGATCGATAATTTATAAATTCAGTCTCTTAGAATGTGAACGTTATTTAAAGCCTTAGTTTTTATCCTCCTATCCTATCCTATACCTTTTTACTTTTCGTATTTTATTTTTATATATTAGTATATTACTTGAGTTGACTTCGACACGGCGGAGGCGGAGGCGAGGAACTTGAGTGATATGTTTATCGATTACCTCAGTCACCAACTATAAACGGAAAACTAAATGATCTTTTGATTCGTTTGAAGATTTTTCTCGGTGTATACGCGCGTTCAATATAGAAACATCCAATAATCGCTTAAATAGTTTAAGATACCACTTGAAGCAACGCTTCCTCTCTAGTAGGTACGGCATCATTCGATCTTTGCGATCAACGCTACCCATGTATTTGTTGTAGTCGATGGCCAATTTGGGTTTCCACTGGCACGACAAATTTGATTTGGACTTAACCATCACCTGCTCGGTGTTATGGTACGTACTTATGAGCGCAACTGGTTTCCTATCGTGATATATCATGGTGACAACGTCACCAGAGTGCCGCGCGAACAACTCTCCGTCACGTGGCCTGCAAAGTGCTATCAAAGGTGACACGTATTTGCGATGAGCACGTAAAGTTCCCACACAATCAGTTTTGCGCTTATTTTTATTATTATTATTTTGTAACGGTAAGTATATGAGAGCTTGCAGCCTTCTTATAAATACCGCACAAATATAATTTAATAGACGGCATTCTATTTTTGGATTGGATGCCTAACTAAAATTTACCAATGCCTTTGGTTGATAGATGTAATAATAAATATTTACTTATAAAACATCAGGGATAATTAAAAGAATAATAATGAGATTTTTATGAATTTTATTGTTTGTTTCATATAAATGTATTATAAAGCTATTTAGGTATTGCTTTAAAAAAAAACAATGTTCTTTCTAAGCCCCGCTACGTCCGTCCGTCCGCCCCTCTTCCCCTGCCCCTTCCCCTTACAGGCGAAATGAGCCAATTGCTGATTGGTTGATCTACGTCAGTCGTCAGAATAGTTTACCACCGGCGATTTTTCCGGACCGATACGACCTGGGGACCTTCAAGAAAAGAGCTTACTCCTTTCTAAAGGGCCGGCAACGCACCTGCAATTCCCCTGGTGTTGCGGTTGATCATGGGCGGCGGTAGTCACTTAACATCAGGTGAGCCGCATGCTCGTTTGTCCCCTCTTCTATATAAAAAAAAACATCAGGTGGACAATAAATTCATTTGTCATTTCTTTCTGTCAATTTTATAAAAATCGGGAACTGGTGGAAGTATTTGTGTCGTGCCGCCTTGAAACATGTCGCTTCTGGTCAAAGGCGCAATCAAAGGTCGCCGCTTGCGGCGTACACTCGCAGGAGAATTTGGCATTTTAAAAAAAGAAGCGTCTTAGTGAAAGGTTCTTTGCTACTTAACGTGTGTTTTTATTTATATTCGTATTTTATTACAATAACTACAGAAATAAAATAGTATTCTATTTTATTCTCAGAATAAAAAAAACAGTTATCAACAAACACAACATTTTTTTTATAAATTTCACTTCTAACGCGCATTCTTTATATGCAATGATTAGGCATGAGACCGATATATCAAAACGTAACTAATAACGTTATGTTATCAAACATCATATCATATCGATAAACCTAAGTACAAAACCGTTATCACATATCCAACCAAAATCATATACCTAACCGACGTACGAAAACGAAACCGAAACGCATAACGCAAATTGTGGAACGATATCCCAAAACTGAAAACGGCCCACTAACCGATGACCTTCGTTGATATTCATCGCTTCTCGTTCTTGCAACGATAGTTTAAATAAGTATAGAAAGAGATGAAGCGAATATAGATATCGTTGCGATGGTTTGGTAGTTATCACACAACGGTGCACTTTGCGAAATATAATATATAGCTAAAGCAATAAGGTCGAATTTTAAATAGTTAAAATTGCCTAAATTTTAAGTTTGGATAGTTGTGAGAGTTATCAAATTTCAAATTATCTTTAGCTCATTAGGCACAAGGCTTAGATTTGTAAAACGTAAAACGCAAACATTGGAACGATACGCCAACACGGCCCACGAACTAAGCCGATGCGATGCCCTTTGTTGATATTCATTGTTGTTTGTTCTTGCGACGGTATCATAAATTCGTATAGAAAGAGAGGATTTCTGTTTTGGTAATTTTAGATTTACACGGTACGCAATGCACATCTGGATATAATTACCTAAAGCAAAAAGGTCGAATTTCAAATGGTTAAAATTGCCTAATTTTTAAGTTTGTGTAGTTGTGAGAGTTGTCAAATTTAAATGATTTTTAGGAAAATAGACACAAGACTTGCATTTGTATGATCATATTAGATTTGGTTTAGGCAACTTTATGTTTATGTTTTTTATATTTTGGATGGAAATTTTAGAATTTGCTTTTTTCTAGACTAGCACTTGGTCTTGGTGGCTCGTGCTCGTGTCATTCGCTAAGATACCTAATAACACCCATTAAGTTATTAATTGTTGACGTTGCGTTTGTGCATTTATTTGCAATATTTGTGTGTATTTTGGGTATTAGGTAGTTGTAATTCAGACAATTATGTGTAAAGTCTAAATATAATAAAGCATAGTATAGTTTAAGTTGATTTAGACTTACTCATTTTTGAATATAGACTTTCAAATTAACGCGTAAGGCTAGTGAAATATGGTCTCACTTCGATAAAAAAATACAATTCCACCGGAGCCGAATCAGCGCCTAGTGCAAATCAGGTTTTAATTAACCTGCGGTTAATAGAGTTGAATTTTGAAATTGAATTGAGAATTCGAATTTAAAACTTTTCTGCTAGTTCTAAGACTAGTTAAGCATGAAGGAAAATCGCCAACTTAAATAATTGTTAAATGTTAATCAATAAACTAACTACAATAAATTTTCTATAAATGTATATAAATTATGTTTACTTCTTAAGAATACACTTAATAGACTTTGAAATCAAATCCTACGTCGCAATTTGAAAAAAAAAATGGGTAACAAAATTATAGAAATAAATAAGGATAGAATGAACGTAATTGTATTCACTACCCGATTATCATCCCGTGGGTGTCATAAAAGGCGACTTATGGAAACAAATCAGGAGATGGGCAGCAATTTTTTTTAGGTTTATACCATCTAGCAATCTATCAAGCTAACTACATACCATTGACAAGTCAATGTTTGTTCCAGAAAATATCTTTACCTATACAACATAGTAGATGGCGCTATTACTGAAGTGCGCTCAGCTCAATCTTACTAAAATAAATAGGTGTACCTTGGTAACTGTCTTAAATAAAATTAATATAAGATTAATATTTGAACAAAAAAACCGTTGTAATCTTGTAATTGTGCTGCTATATACTTTATGGTATGTAAGCGTTTGCGACTTGAATGATCGACCGAATGCCCGGTACGTACGTAGTGTTTACACCCACCACTTTTCGTCATACAAAAAGGTTGCGGATCAGCATTTCAATCAAAGCCCTCCCGTAAAAAGTTTCACTTCAAAAAACTGTGGTTGCCAACCCGCTTGCCAAGCGTGGCAACTATGGCAAATATCCCCCCTATGATACAATCTACGAGGAGGCCTATACATTCAGCAGTGGCCTTTAATAAGCTGTAACAGTAACGGTATAATTTATTACTGCATAACATTGAATATACAAAAATTATATATTAATATACATGTTTAAATATTACATCTAAGATAACAATAACGTTAGAACCTCTGACTTCTAATCTAAAATAATCTATGTGATTCATAAATACATGTTGCACTAGTAGTACAGTTTGCGGTTATGGTTTGGTATTCATTCAGTAGCAAACCGTTACTATTGATATCGATATCTGAAAACGGTTTTCAATAACGATATGAAAACTAGATAATGGTTATGTAACCGTTGCAGATAAAAACTGAAAACGCCCATGCTTAGCAATGATG